ATATTCCTCGATCTGTCAAAAGCATTCGATACAGTTAACCATCAAATTTTACTTAAAAAACTAGAACACTATGGAATAAGAGGAGTAGTGTATAAATGGTTTGAAAGCTATTTATCTGGTCGTATGCAACACGTCAAATACAATGATACAATATCGGATGCAAAGCTGGTTTCCTGTGGTGTACCACAGGGATCAGTATTGGGTCCACTACTTTTCTTAATATACATAAACGACATCAATTTTAGCAGTCAGCTTACATCATTTATAATATTTGCAGATGACACTAATCTATTCTACTCTGGTGAAAATGTTGAGCAATTAAATAAAACAATCAATGCAGAAATGCAGAAAATAAGTCAATGGTTAATTGACAATCAGCTTACGTTGAATATAAAAAAAACAAATTATATAGTTTTTAAATCGACAAAGAAAAAAATATTAAACCCATTTAAAATATTTCTTAATAATTGTCAGTTAACTCAAGTTAAGGAAACAAAATTTTTAGGAGTAATCATAGACGAACATTTAAATTGGAATCAACACATTAACTACATTGCAAATAAAATATCAAAGTCAATAGGAATAATTTGCAAAGCGCGTTATTTCTTAAATTCCAACATACTAAGAACTTTATATAATACATTAATTTATCCATACCTATATTATGGAAATATTGTATGGGCAAATAATTATCCAACAAGATTAGATAAAGTATGTAAACTCCAAAAAAAGTAATTAGAATAATCACACATTCTTCGTATGATGCAAACTCTGCCCCATTGTTTAAAAAATTGAAATTGCTAAACCTTCATCAGATCAACGATTTATGCATTGGACAATTTATGTTTGAATTTTATAATAATTCCTTGCCTGAATATTTTAAAAATTTCTTTACTCTTAACAAAAACGTACATAATTACAGAACGAGAAACTCACATTATATACATAAGGAAAGATACCGAACTAATTATGGAAAATTCACGATTAAGATTAAAGGAAGTAGTTTATGGAACAAAATTCCATCTGATATAAAGAAGCGAGAACAAAAATTAAGTTTAAAAAAGATATGAAAGATTATCTATTGTCATAGATGTGCATGCAATGTGTATACATGATTGCATATGCATTCATACATATCTATATATAAGTGAAGTATTTATGTAAATATATATATATTGCTAGTTAAATCATTAAATCAAAATTACTATATGAATATAATCTTATCAATGATACCAAATCAACTGTATTTTAGCTAATTTTATTGTAGGAGGACTGACTTGTAAAAGCCCACAAGGGTTTATCTGGTCCTTCCAGTATCAATTAATTTGATGTAAATGTGTTATGAGAAATGAATAAAGTATACTAAATTTGGAAATAATGTGTGGCGCAATGCAACTGAGGGGTTAATTAACACTCCATTGAAAACATATAGTCATTTATATTTATTAGATACTAGCTACATACATAGCATGCTTAGTATGTCGAAAAATAGGTTTTTTACGCTTTAAGAACAAGCTTTATTATTTAGAACAATTCAAAGTAACAATTATATTCTTCAGAGATTCCGAAATGTAGCAAAGACGTTCCAAAATGTGGCAAAGATAAAAGTAGCAAAAATGTTGCAAAATGTGGGAAAAATGTAGCAAGTGTGGGAAAAAATAAATTAGAACCTTAATTTCTACATGAGAAAAAAGAATATGGAACATTTTCGTGTGAATAGTACTCCCAGCATGGGAGAAGCTTTAAAAAATAACAATACGAGTTGTTTCCAATACCTAAGCAACAATTCATGCAAATTTACACTAGATATCATGCCAATTGGCTTTAGGAATGTTGTAATATGTAAATTATAATGTTGTAAATTATAAATTATAATGTTGTAAATTATAAATTAATTGTTCGTTTTATCATTGTTACATATTTGTATATTTTTGTACGGTTTAAATACTGACAATTAATATTGTAAATAACTGTAGTTTTGATGCAAGACCCCACTGAAAACATATGTGATGTGGGTATCCTGAATAAATATAATTATTATTATTAATATGCCAAAAACATTCAAAACACAGCAGGGCCACCGAGAGGTTGGCGGGGGCACGGGACAATTTTTTTTAGGGGCCCCTATCTAAAAAAATTTTCAGGAAAAATATTTTCCGGAGAACAACCTCCCCCCCTGGCACCAAAAATTTTTCGGTCAGTGTACCATTTTAGGGGTAAAAACGGTTGCAATTGCTTTCCAGGGACTTTATCTCATTTTTTATGCCAAATTTCGGTACTTATCCCAAGAAAACAGATATCTTGTCCTTTGCGCGGAAAATCTTTTAACACACAAAAAAGACTGGGGCCCAACAAAAATTTTCAGGGGCCCCCAGCACCTCGGGGCAATTTGCCCCCCCCCCTGCCCCCCTCTCTGCGGCCCTGAAACACAGTCTGCCCTTTGAATTGTTGTATTGTCAAATTACAAATTATAGTTTGGCAAGCTTTAGGTGATGTTTTAGTATGATTTGACTCAGGTAGGGGTCAATCATTGAACTGAGGTCAACTAAAACACCAAAGAAACAAAATAGCTGTCAACATATCTTGTGTATTAAATGAGTTCTTCGATTATTATAAAAGCCAATATATAAAACAATATAAAAGCCGTCCTTTATCCTTGACCCCCGCATGTATGACTCATATGAAACCGAGAATATTGGAACAGGCTAGGAAGTCAACACCTTAGGGGAGTAGAATATAAATACAGGGTTCTGCCCACGGTGGGCGGCACCAGGCGACTGCACCCAGCACTCATGAGTCATGACAAAGCTCGGACTTTTCCTCATTACACAGATTAGCACAATGGGAATTCCTTGCCGAACAGCTGGTCTGATAAATTTCTTGGCAGAGAAACACAAAAACAAACTTTCATTCACATGTGGCATCTGCGAATTATATCATACACTTCAAAGGAATATTAGAATACATTTTTGTAGGCCAAAATTAAAATTTGTAGGCCAAAATTGAAATTTGTAGGCCAAAATTGAAATTTGTAGGCCAAAATTGAAATTTGTAGGCCAAAATTGAAATTTGTCAAAACTAGCAAAGCCTACAATTTTTGAAAGAAATTCTTAATTCGACATCCTGTCCGAATTGGCCCACAGTATTTCATTTGTACAAACGAACTATCTAGAATGAACTATGAACAAATACTCACCCATTAAAGTTGTTTTAAACAATTGCTTTGATATCTTAAATTCCATATGTTGTGATTTTTTGTCGGAAATGGCCTCATCCCATCCGGTGATTTTCGTCGAAATTTCTACATTAAAAAAATAATATATTCAAATATTTAAAGCATAGGCATGTAACAACACATCTACATACAATTTGAAACAAAAAATTACCCTGTAAAGTTTGTGTTATCGACTTTAAATTGAGTTTGAAATTTGAAATTAACTTAATTGGAAATTCTTTCAATCCCAGCGAAGAATTACTTTTAAAAATCCCGCGCGTGCGCGCGTGTCTGATTTACAGACATAAATACATTCCTTCGAATTCCTTCTACATTGAGCTTAAAATTCCTTGTACAATAGATAAACAAAATTGATTTTATTTCGTAAAATTGCGTTGTAAAAGACAATTTCACTTGTGTTGTACGATTATTGTATAAAATTAAATAGGTTTTTCTGTGCGTAGGCATGTAAAACCATGTCTGTATGGATAAACTTAGAAATAAAATTAAAAATATCAATGGTTCATAATTTATAGTTCATGTATATCTTTATATTATAATATGCAGGTCTGAAATTCTAGTCTTTAATCAAAAAGTCTGAAAATACAGCAAGTAAAAATCATTGCCAACATTAGAATTATTTTGTGTTTTTTTTTCATTTCTGTGTTGTTTGACTTTTTATATTATTATATAAATATTTAATATTTTGGACAAAAGTTTTGCAGTAACTTCCTTTCCAATTATTCCTTGCAAAAGGAAAATTGATTTTCCTTGTTTCCGGAAAGGAAAAATTAGCACTTACTTTGTATTCATTTGTGTGTATAAAAAAAATACTCAATCACAGAGGGTAATATCAATCATTGTACTGTAACAGAAAAGGCGACTTATTGACCATGTTTCAGAGCAAAACGTTTGTGATTTTGACTGGTGCAAGTAAAGGGTTTGGACAAGCTTTGGCCTGTTCGCTAGCTCGAGAATTCTCCCAAAATATTCCTGGGAAAGAATCTGTGCTGGTATTGGTTGCCCGCTCTAAAAAAGGGCTTGATGAAACCAGACGTATGGTGGCAACGATATCTAGCGATTTAAATGGTTAGTATACTTTTGGAAACAGCCAAGGACCCACCGAACAACATCAGGGGAAGGGAGGGGGGGGGGGTATTCTGTGATGTGGCTCAGGTTCATAAATTTAGATTTTGTGCAATATGCATTGTTCCCTAAAAACCCGTAGCTATTACATGTGTAAACAAAAAGGTACCACTGCAGTTGAAATCTATCAACTTTTAATTTGCTATCAAGTCTTATTGTAATATTATAAGCCAATCATGAATATTTTCAGTCGTAAACACCATATTAACACCTTATGCATTCAATATAATATGGCTTTTATGAAACACCCTCTTACTAATTTTGACAGGAAATAGTGTTTGTAAGTCAATATCAATATTGGCATATGTGAAATTCTCTTGCATAACAATCTCACTCATACAACAATCAAATTGTGTTTGTTTAGTTCATGTCATACCTGGAGACTTGTCAGATGTGAGCAATCTGGACAAATTGACATCATCAATATTTGGAATTGTGAGTCTAGTAATGTTTAACCCAATGAGTGACAGCACTCTCCCATTGACGAGTAATATCATCTGGCTCTATGTTTAGAGTTAATGCCATTCCTTCAGTACGCATTTACCCGATAATCTAACCAAAATTTATTTAAAACAGGTTGATCCCAAGCAGTTCAGTTGTGCAGTTCTAATAAATAATGCAGGTAGTCTCGGGGACAAGATCAAATCAATACCGAACCATACCGATGTTGATAAAATACGCACGTACATGGATTTAAATATCACTTCAAGTTTTTACCTTACGTAAGTTGGTTTGCATAAACTGGATTGCAATTGATAGCTTCCCTTCAACTTGTCTTCTTTCTTCCACTTCTCTTCCCATTTCCACTCCTTCCGATCAACCTTCTCTTTATCCTACCTTTCCCTCCTTTTTATCAACCCTCATTGCATCCTCCTTTCTTCCATTCCTGCCTCATTTCTTTCACCCATCCTTCCTTCCTTCACTCTTCTTCCATTCCCTGCATGCATCCTCCCACCTTTGTCTCCTTCCTTCTTTACTTCCCTTTCTCTTCCCACCCCCCTCCTGCTCTTTGCCCTTCCTTCTGTCCATCCTTTCTTTCCTCCCTTCTACTTAATTAAGCTTATCCTTCCTTCCCTTCCTTGTCTCTCATGTCCATCCCTCCATCTTTCCTTCCTTCCCCTCCTCTTTCCACCTCCTTCCTTATGTTCATCCTTCATTCCCTACTTCCCTCCCATCTTTCCTCCCTCTCCCCTCTATAATCCTTTCACTCCCTCCCTGATTCCTTTATCTCCCGCCTTTCTTGCTACCTACCTCGCTCCCCCCTTCTTCCCCCCAATTCCTCCCTTCCCCCTCAATTCCTCCCTTCTCCCTCAATTCCTGCCTTCCTCCCCCAATTCCTCCCTTTTTTCCCCAATTCCTCCCTTTTTTCCCCAATTCCTCCCTTTTTTCCCTAATTCCTCCATTTTCC